TATTATCTTGTTTTAAAGACGAACTATTGTTAAGCGATGTCTAAATTAAGTATTGACTAATTAAAGGAATAAGATAAATCATGTAAAATAAATAAATATCTTTTCACTCAATATGACATCGGATGTGACCTTTTGTATTTACGATTTATTTTCTTAGACTATTTCGCAATTTCCGCAAAATCTCGATCGAAGTGTCATCGCGACATGTATTTTTCAAGTTTTTCCGACAAAATTACATATCGCGCTATGCGGTTTTTCGCTATTTTTTCCCATCTTTTGACTATTTAAATAGATTGAATCTATTTGTGCAATTTACATTAACGATCTGAACCTTGCGTGTTTTGTATCTTTACTTTTTGCAAAAATGAAGGAACTAGAGCCGATTAAAAAACAACTATTCGAAAACGACGAAGAGGAGGAGGCTGTGGAGATGGAGGTGGAGGAGGTGGAAGAGGACTACAACGCTGACGAGGAGCAGATGGAGGATGATCCTCCTCATGCAACCTCTCCTACACCCCCTCCTACACCCTCTCCTGTAGAGGATGAAAAAGAAGAGGAGGACGAGGAGGAAGAGAACGATCTTCCTCCCATGAATTTCGACGAGGTCGACCCCGACGAACTCGTTCAATTTGTGATGGACCTCCTGCAGGTGGATGATGTGGAAAAGTTATGCCTCCTCCTCATCTGCCTGCTGGACGAGGAGGCTGAATAGGTACATCGACCTGTGGAAGGTATGAGTGCCACCGCTGCCACCGCTTACTTTTTGATTGCGTGCGCATTTATAGTGTGAATATTAGTTTATTTTTATTTTAATTTATAATATATTAAATGGTTTATTACATCACATATAATATTGACTCTGTCAAAGAGTTAATGTCTCTATATATACTCTTGCTAATTTATTTTACTTTTCAGATTTTTGTAACGTGTAAGCATTTATTTTGGTTCAAATAGAAATTCATAGATTAGTTGGATTTGAGATGCCTAGGGCGCTATAATCGTCAAGCGTGCCATGAAGAACTAGATAATAAGAGGGCGCAGCGCGCGAGCTCTCGCATCGATCGCGAGACAAGAGAATCGATCGTAATACTCATTGAATTGTATTGTAAGACGTTGTAACGAACGGGCAAGCATTATTGTATACCAGCATATTTTACGCAATAAATTGAGTTCCAACAATTTTGAATCAGTTTAATCAGTTGAGGTCACAAATCCTTAACAGACTCTTAATTGCCTTTTTTATTTCATTGACAACCTTACAATTAGTCACCGTGTCGACAGCGTGTATTCAACGCGACCTTTTGATCGGGTCGCGCGACCCGAGATTACGAGCGCATCGCACTCGCGCGTCGAGACACTTTGATATCAAATCTGTAGCCTGTGTATCAATTTTCCATCAAATATATAAGATTTTCACATCCACTGAGTGAAAATAATAATTTATGATGCATATGATTATAAAAACAAATGAACTTATTTTTTTATAAAACATTACGCAAGAATTACCAATCATATACGCATATGTAATAATTAAAACTATCATTAGAACTATATAATATCATTATTATTATTGTAATTATTATTATATATATTTCTACACTTTCTATATAAATTAAAGTAGTTATTAACCTTTAAAAAAAAATAATAAGGTCTGTAGTTGCATCAAATTATAGTACAGCGAAAGTGCGTCGAGACACTGTCTCCGGCGTGCGACGTCGAATAAATTAGACATTATAATTAACATTTACAATTAAAACAGAACGAATATACAAAAAACGTTATGGTTTTGACTTTTGATTGCGTGAATTTTACTTTAATTTTATTTTAATTTATAATATATTAAATGGTTTATTAGATCACATATAATATTGACTACTGCCTTTTTATTTCATTGACAACCTTACAATTAGTCACCGTGTCGATAGCGTGTATTCAACGCGACCTTTTGATCGGGTCGCGCGATTCGAGATTACGAGCGCATCGCACTCGCCCATCGAGACACTGTCTCCGGCGAGAGCGGAACAAAATAAATAAATTTCAAGTAACGGAAAACGACGATGGCGGCGAGAATCTCTGCGCGCACGCGCGACCTGTCGAAAAGCGCGGGAACGACGTAACCTTGCGAAGCGCGCGCCTTAACCTCGCTCCGCCGTCAGCGTCGAGCGCGCGACATAACCTCGCGAAGCGCGCGCCCTAACCTCGCTCCGCTTCTTCTTCTTCTTCTTCTAAATTTAAATGGCCCAGGTTCCGGAGTGACCGGATAAACGTGGCCAGTCGTACTTATGCACAGTCAAAGTCGGCAACACTTTCAAAAATATACAAAGAAGAGCACCCGAACCGAAACGCGTCCGTAACGGTCGGATGGTTCGTCGGAAC